TTGCCGCCTCCTCGCGGGCGCCGCTCTGCGGGGCAGCCGCCGGCAGCGCGCCCGGCCTCGCTGCGCAGCTCCTGAGGTAAATCTCCTCCGGCGCCCGAAGTACCTGTTGGTGGCGCGCGGGATCAGGCTGCTTGACGCCCGCGGGGCCCGTTGGCCTTTGCCTGGGGCAGCCGCAGGGCTCCGCTCCTGCAGAGCACAGGGATTTCCTGGACCTTGCCCAGACACCCGCTGTGACCCCCGTGTGCCCAAGGAGGCTCATGGTGCTGCCAGAGCCACCCCATGTCTCTGACCTCATCCGCGGGGCACGACCACATCCGTGGGCACCCCCAGCCTCAGATCAGCTCCTGCGCCTTTCGCACGTGCCCGAACCAGGTTAATAAAAGCAGAGAGCGCTGCATCCCGAGCGGACGGCGCCGCTGAGCGCGCCCGGCTCCACAGCTCCCAGCTCAGCTGAGGACGGGAGCAGGTCGTGACACAGCCCGGAGGAGGCTGGGGCGCTCCTGATCTCCGCTCGAGAGGCACCGGCTTCCCTTGCTAATTATAGGCTTGGCAGCAGCTAAGAGGATTTGCAGAAACCCCGGCACAGGCGCAGGGCACAGCCGGGACATGCTGGGAATTTTCCATCCGGAAGTGCCGGGCGCTAGAGAGGCCCCTTCCCTCCGGGCGGGCTGTTGCTGGGAGCTGTTTTCCATGAGCCGCTCGCTGAGCAGCAGCTCCGATATCCAGGCCGCCCGGTCTGTCTTTTCTGGGTTTGGGGAAGCATTTGGCACCCCAAATGCTGGCTCTGGTCATCAAGGGGAAGTGCGAGGCTATCTGAAATGGCTCCTGGAAAGGGGTGTTTCCCATTCCCATGAAACGCATGCAAGAGGGAAATAAAGCCAGGAAGAGGAGAGGGGGCCCGTGGGTTTTGTTGCACGTGGAGTTTATTATCAAATCTGCTGCAACTCCTCATGCTGCTAATGGGATTAAGGGCTCGTCTGCTCGGATAAGCCCCGGAGCAGGCAGGACGGCCAGCTCTGGAAACTGAGAAAACACGAGCGTGGGTTGATCCTGGCCGGCACTGCTGGATCCAGCCCAGGGGGGTCTCCACCAGGATTTGTTGCGGGCACCCGGGGCAGCCCCTTTCCCGGGCGATTCGCAACAGGAGCAGCTACAGGGCTCCAGCAAGAGGTGCCATCGCCCGGCCGGCTTCTCCACGGCCGTGGGAATTGCAGAGGGGGGATTTGTTCGCTGCAAGTCCCTGCTAGTTTTAATCACAGGTCACGTAACGACGGTGAGGACGTGGTAGCAGCGGTCTCTGATGGAGACATTCAGCTGCAAAGCCGGGATTTTTCGAGACGTCCTGTGCGAGTGGGTGTTCAGTTCATGTGAGAAGGGAAGGGCAAGGGGGAATCAGCTCCTCCAGGTGTTTTTAGAAACGGCTTCAGACCTCAACCAGCAACAGCTGAGAGCAGAAGTCAGGAAAAAGGTTGCTCCCTAGCTTGTTTTCCTAAAATATTTCCTTTCTGGCATTTTACTCCCAGCAATCTGGGTTATAAGGCTGTGTGAGGGTGATGCACACATGTTTGTTTTTTGGAAATGATCTTTCTCCTTGTGCCTAACCTGCAGGTTTCTGTAGCTGCAAGGTGGGGGTCTGTGTATGGGGAAATGCATGTGCAGAGGCAAAGCGAACAGAGTGTGCAAGGCAGAGACAACTGCAGAGCAGCTGCCCCTCTCCGCAAGCACCCGGGACCCTGCAGTGGTGAAGGAAGCTCGCTCCAAGCCACAGGGTAAGTCAGAGCCAGGGTTAGGAGGAAAATCCCCTCTCCCGGGCTCGGGAGACGTCCGTCTTCCCGCTCCAGCACAGTCTGTGTGTTGCTCTATTCCCCGACACCCCAGTCTGCGCATGAGGGAGATCTAAGCGTGTTCATGGTCCCTAGAGATGCTCAGGGGAAACGAACGGGCAAGTCCTCAACAGCCTCCTCATGGCATCTCTTTATTCTGTTACAAACATCTGCCTGCGCTGGGGGCTTGAATTCAGAAAAGCGAGCTGCCCTGTGGATTTATGCACCCACTTACGAATCCAAACGTTCTTGGCAATAGAGACCTAACTCTTCTCACCCCGAACACGCAGGGTTTTCTTGTCAGGATGTGGATTTTAATTGCATGTATTGAAAGAGTGGGACAGCACAGGCTGTGATGACAGTCACCTTCTTACCACCACCGAAGTCACTTTGCAGGTGAGCTGAGGTGAATTTGCCCAACTCCCTCCCCGCTGGGGCAGTTCCCCCTTCCTGGGGCTGGCCCTTTACAGGGGCCTCTGGCCCACAAGCTGCCCCCAAGTCCTTTGGCACCACCAGGACACAACAGAAACGCTGGCGCTTACCGGAGGCGGCACGGAGCGGGGACACGGAGCTGCTCCTCTGCCCAGGCTGGTCTGGTCGTGCCCCGACGCGCTGGAAGGAAGCAGAGAAGAGCCCGGAGCGAATTTTGACCTCCCTCCTGCTCTCTCTGCCCCAACTTCAGGAGCCCTCGCTTATATATTTGTTTTTTATGGAGCACGTGATGGCACTCTAAGGGGTTTATAACCCCGATGAAAGACAGGGAGAGGTGAGAGGCTTTAAGGTGACAGGCCAGCAAGGGGATCCTGGCAGGCTGATCCCGGCAGGCTTTTCTCGGCTGGCGTGGCTGCCCGCAGAGGGATAAAGCATTTAGCTGATTGCTCCGGGCTGAGCGCTCCGTGCGAGCGGCAGGGAGAGCGGGGCTTAGCAAAGAGCAGCCTGCAGCCCTGCTGAGCACGGACGTGTTTCCTCTGCTTCCCCAAAACCGTCTCTCTGCTGGGGTGGAGTCTGCACCCAAGTATGTGTTTAGGAAACGTGGGGTTCGCTTTCCTGGCTATAGATCACTCCCGTCCAGCAGGCCAAGGAAATAGCCCTGGCGAAGCCAAAAGTGAGGCCGGGGTGTTTATCACAGCGAGCCTGGGTCTGATCCTGCCTCGAGGAATCGCACGGCTCGTTGGGCCCTGGGAATTAGGCAGGAAAGGGTGGGTGGGCGGAGAACAGCCCAGGACGCGCTGAGGGGCTGGTGGCGAGGGCAAAAAGGCCGCTGGCCCTGCTGGCCATGGCTGCCGAGCCACAATATTTGGCTGCAACGTGCTGCGAACTCACAGCTACACAGGGCCACAGGCGAGTGTCCCTGCACGCGGTGCATCCCTGTTGGATCAGGGCCAGATCCAGGGGTTCTCCCGCCAGGAACTTGCTCCAAGGACCGAGCACTTCTCCCTGCACTCCTTGGGAAACACTATGTAAGGAAGCGGGTAGGCAAAGCCGGAGATGTTTGGCCCCAACAGGACAAGTGTAATAAAAGGGGGATTATCCCAGGCATGAGCTCCTAGGAAGGAAATTACTGGTGACATCAGCAAAAATAATAATTAAAGACCACCGGCATCGCCATCGCGAACAAGCAGCAGCCTGGAAAAAAACGCTGAGCAGCCAGGCAGGGTGTCTCCACCTGGGAAATGCCTTTGGAAAAAGCATTTCAGAAGCAACTCCCAACCATTAAAGCTGACCCCGGCTGCCAGCAGCTGCCCCTCGAGCACAGAGGCTGGTTTTGGTGCCACCGCAGTGGGGTTTCAGCGCAGTCCTTCTCTCCCTCCTCCTCCGCAGCTGCAGAGGGTCAAGAATCCCGTTGGAGGAGAGCCCCGGCAGCGGGCTGAGATTCACCCGTTCAGCAGCTCCCAAAGAGCCGGGAGCTGCCGCGTGCCCGCGCCCCGGCTGCTGTGCCCGCACGAGGGGCAGGACATGCGCGGGGGCGACGCGTGGGCAGCAGATGAATCACCGGGTTTTTACCCCCTCCGCCGGCTCTCGGAGGCGGCACAAACGCGGCTCCTCGGGGCCGCCTGATCCGGACACTCCGGGGCGTTAAGCAGCTTTGGGCAGCAGCCTGAGCGGCCTCTTGCCCTCCAGGATCTGCCTCAAAAGGGATGTGGGTGACATCGGTGGCCTCCCGGGTGGCACCGGGGTCTCTCCCCAAACTGGCAGAGCTCCTCAGCCTTTCCTGCTGTGCCCAGCACAGACCAGGCTTTTCTCCTGGCCTCCCCGCGTGGTGCGACCTGGCCGGGAGCCAAACTCTGCAATTTTGCCTCGCTGCAGGCTCAGCCGCGGGCTGACGTTGTTCTCACGTGGCCTTTCCAGCAGCCCTGCCCCGGAGAGCAGCAGAAAACCTGGCAGCTTCCCAGGTTATCCGAGGTCCCAGCGCCTGCCAAGGAAGCGGCCCTGGGCTCCGGCCCGGCACGTGTCCCCCCGGGGCCGGGGACCCTGCTGTCCCTCCTCGCGGGGACACGTGCGCAGAAAGGGCTGCGTTTTGCCCGTGGCTGCTCAACCCCAAGGGGCCGGGGACCACCCGGGCCCTCTTTTGTCCCCTCCCGGAGCCCTCGCTGGTGTTTGACCTCATTCCCTCCTCTCCGCGGGCCTGCGGGAGGGTAGAACTAGGTCACGGGCGCTCGTGGCGCAATCCCCTAACGAAGCGGGACGGGGTCCAGGCGGGCTGCGCTGGCTCCCGGGAGGAAGGGCCTGGCACAGGCGGCCCCGTGTCCTTCGATCCCGTTGTGCCTCCGTGCTGTGGGCAGCTGGGATGACCCGTGGAGGTCACAGGGGACCTGCGGAGGCTAAAGAAGAGCCAGACCCCGAATCTCAGAACAAGACTGGGCCTCAACCACCCGGTCAGAGGATTTGCAAGGCCTTGGGCTCAGCAGGGGGGACGAGAAGCACAGATGGAGCAGGAGAACTGGGCTAGCTCACGTCCCCGCTTGCATGAAGTCCCACATCAGCAAGATGAAGCCAGGGCAGCAGAGGAGGGGAGGGAAGGGCTCTTGGGCAGCCACTTCGTGGGGCACTTTTGCAGCCACCCTCCTCTCTGGCAGAGGAGAGGTGTCTCTGCCGCTCAGAATTGGGAGCTCTGCCGGGCTGGCGCGAGCGCCAGGACGCTGGGGACACCTTTAAACAGCCCCATGCCCTAAGGTGGCTGCCCAGGCTGGTGCCAGCCCACGGCCCAAGGGCCTGGGATGTTCACAACTGCCTTCCCGTTGAGCCTGTGCCCAGCGGATCAGACTGGGCACGATGCCGTTCCTGCAGCAAGGAGCATCCGTCCACTTGGTCTTGTTCTTCTGGACACAGTGCAAGCAGGACCACGTATTTCACTGGGGAAAA